ACGCTGGTTTGGGGGGGGGGGGGGTCTGATCCCCTTAAAGAAGGCTTGATCCCCCCTGATGGATGTCAAAACTAGATGTAGTAACCTAGAAAGTAACCTATGCATAAAATGGAGATTTACTTGTAAATATGAAGATGCATTTCTGTAGCTGACATTACCTGAGAGGTTGAAGTAAATACGCAATATCACACAACTCAAGCAAGAGAGCTGATTTTTTTCCTGAATATCTGCACGAATACAAATGTGATATTGATTTTGATACAAGAGTTCAATAAACAGTAAATTTAAAGTGTTACATTTTAGACACAATATTGTCAGTATTATCTGTTTTTGAGCAATTTTGCTAATGAAAATATTACCTATAAAGCCCCAGCAGAACTCTCTATAACTGTTTGTGAAAGTGATCAAAACAGACAATATTCAGTACAACAATCACAATACTGTGTCTAACTTCTTGGTTATTGAACTGTTGTATAAATCAACTTCACATTTGCAATTGTGCAGATCTTGGGGAGAAACTGCACTCTTGCTGGTGTGATATTACTGAACTATATCATATGATATAAATATAAGGGTAATTTTTTTGCGCTCATATCTTGAATTTTAGACTCATAAAACTGCATTCTAATAGGCTTCATCATGAAGTCAGTCGTCCTGCATCAGGTTCATCAGCTGATGGACAGGTCTGGACGGGGTGGCTGAATTAAGTGTCATAATCTTTTGAATGCATTATTTTTTCCATAATTAATCGCACCAAATTAAACCGTTAAATCGACAGCCCTGCTTGAAATGCAACCAGGGAAAGTTTTTGCCTAAAAATAAATATATAATGCATCAGGAAAACACTGCATGAGAAAAATCCAGCTTTTATGATTCACTCAACAGTTACATCAGCTGCTTATGTGTCACATCATCTCATAATGCCATGGCATCTGCTGTTTGCCATTGAGATTTTATGCCTTGCAATTCAGAGTTTACGCAAGGATGCTGCAGCGCTGCAGACACACGTACTGTAGTTGAATGAATCATCTTCATAACGCTGGCAGACGTAATTTGCTCACAATGGCTATTATGTTGAAGATGATGATGGGCATGATTATAAAGAGTTTGATGTGTAGCTGCTCGTTCATCTTGAGACGCATTTTGTTGTGATACAGTGCGACAGGTTTTAATGGCCAATTCCTGAAAAGGTGCACTTTTTCCTTTGAAAGCGAGAAAGATTTGTCTGAAATGTCAGGACATTGAAAAGGTGTGATAAAAAATTAATTACCTTTTCCTTTTGTAGTGTTTTCAGAGAGCAGCTGTCACGAAGAACAATTTACAGTGAATCAGAACATCAGAGTAATGATAGCGAGGCGTTTGTCATGCCGTCTGACAGGAAGCGACTGCCGTTTAGCCTTCTCCTTTTTTAAGTAGGAGGATATTTCGCTGGAATTTAGTCCATTCAAATTTTATTCTCACAAGGACAGATAGAATCAATTTTCCATTTGGTTAAGCTAAAACAAACAGAAGGGCCTCGAGACGTATCAATATTGAGACAAATTAACCAGCTCCAGCATTCACCTCACCGCCGCTCACCATGGGAGGGAAACAGATTTACAGAGGAGTGTCCCCAAATATCAAGCACTTTGTTTTCACCTTTTTATTAATTACGAACAACGAGGCTGTTGTCAAGCCAGGCAATTCATGGAATAGGAAACAAAAATGATCATTCTGTCCTCATTTACTCACTCTCATGATGCTCCAAACCTGTATTGATGCACATGATGGTTAGAAAAATGTCTGAGCTGCTCTGGTCCACACAATAGAATTGAATGGGGACCAGGACCAAAAACATCCTAAAAAGAGGTTCATATAACGTCAAGTCACAGTAGCGCTTTATACAATACATGTGGTTTCAAAGCAGTTTCACAGTAATGAACAGGAAAATAACAAAAAATATTTAAAATTCATCCAATACGAGACAAATTCAAAATCTGCAGTCCAGCCGCTCTACAGAAGACAATAGTGTCAGATCAATTCAATTCTACTTTAGTTCTCATCCCATAGTGCTGATAGTGATAGTAAAATTGATAATAGAATTGAATATTCTTAGGAGGTTTAAAAGTAACTTTTGAAGTCATATGATAATCTTGCTTTATAAGCCCCTTTCACATAGCAGTACCAGTAAATTGCTGTAAAATTACCAGAACGACTTACCGGTAAATGCAAAAATGCACTGTTCACACAGGCAACGGCATTTAGTCTTTTTACTGGTAAAGCACCATTCATACATCAGTGTTTTTGTTAATGTTTTAATTTTTGTGTCTAACGTTCACATTTATGCAGCTGCTTTTGGCCCAGAGATGTCATATTAGATGACTTTAGACATTTTTTTTTTGCTTCTGTAAACAGCGTGGAGTAAATGCGTCATCTGCATCAGAATGTTATGACATACGTGTTCATACCGGTAATCTCGTTCTGCGTTCACACAGAGCACATCACCGGTAATTTACCGGTAACGTTACAACTCAACGTTACAAAAACCGGTATTTTTTAAAAGGTCCTGTTCACACATGATCTCTTAACAGTAATATACTATTAATTCACCAGTTAAGACTGTATGTGTGAAAGACCCTATAGTTACCTGTTACGACCCTGTCTAGGGTAAGGCCGCAACATAAACTGAAATCAACAATCAAAGATCCTTTATACATTTATTTACAGAACCACGAGTGAAAACACAACTTCAGGGGTTCTGTAAATAAATGTATAAAGGATCTTTGATTGTTGATTTCAGTTTGTGTTGCAGCCTTCCCCTTGACAGCGGTGTAACAATTGGGGGCTCGTCTGGGATTTGAACCCGGGACCTCTCACACCCGAAGCGAGAATCATACCCCTAGACTATATGAATTCATTCATTGTTTGGAAAAGAGCAGCATGGACATTCTGGTAAACATCTGCTTTTGAGTTCCACAGAACAAAGTCAGTCAGATAATTAAACATACTAAAGATAACTCATTTTTTTATTTTTGAGTACCCAAACCCTTTAATATTTCCCAGTAATTTCCACTCTTGTGTCCCGGTCACCCTCTTAGGTTCTTCTGCTGTTTCAGCTCTTAATGCACGCCTGTGCGTGGCTTAGATGCTCTGCTATAGAACAGCATGTAAAATTCATGAAAGCAGTGTAAGGTTTGGAGTTCACGTAAGGCCATGGCAGGGTAAAACCTCATATCTTATTCCATCAGCTCTAAGCAATATCTGACTCGCTCTTAATGTTATATGTCAGTGTTTATCTGCTAGCAGCCTGAACTCTATCAGACTGTCTTCAGTGCTGCGAGCGGCTGAATCATAGCTGTTTCAGACACTAAACCCGTCCTCACGCCCTGTTGACAGGTTAACCGTTCGCTGTAATCCAATTAGATCTTTTTTTGATTGTCACTTCATAAAATATTCCATTAAAGCACAGCCTGCCTGTATCCTGATCTAGCATTCGTGCTTCCTATTCTTTTCTCTCCACACTGATCAGTGGCTAATATGAATTTGTTATATAAAGTTCAATTTGATTATTTCATCAAGGTCAGTGGAGGGAGTGAAAGGAACAAGGATTTGGCTGTTTAAACACATTTATGTCCTAGTAAGCCATGCCTCTTGTACTGTAGGCTGTAAATGAGTTATAAAGCATAAACGCAATTGCTCACTTCTCAGTGGCCTTGCTTCTGGAAGGATTTTTCACATTGATTTTCTCTAAAAGGATTTATAAAATTCTTAAAACAAGACTTTAAGCCATTAACCAAACAGCTCTGTATTTCTAGAAAAGTCACTTTTGATTTGCAAAAAAATCTGCAAAATACTCAAATTAATTCTTCATGAAGCATGTAGTAATGATAATAGTAATACACTTTTAAATAGTTTTATTGATTAGAAATATTAAAATACTGTTTTAAGTTTTGTTGTTGTAGTTGATATACTGTATGTAAATTCGATTTTTAAAGTTTTTCCCATATATTTTCATTGCATTTTTTACATTTATCATTTTCTGTTTATTCTCTTCTTGCCATTTTTATGTTTGTGTTACTTTATCCTCAGTGTTGTAAGATTTTATCGGATTGTATTATGTATGTACAGTATATGCAAAAAAAGTTTGTTTTTAAATGTAATGTTTTTAAACAGTCCAACATGTACAGAAACAGAAAGTCGCAGACAAATTTGTTTACATTGTAATGCTTGATTTTAGCGAGCAGTTTCTGCTGAGCTCCTTTGCCTCAGTTTGGCTTTTTCATACTAACATTGACTCTGTTAAACACAATCTGCATTACGCCTTTATCAGATGTTTAAATAAGCGCTAACAATCTCAGAGCTCATGGTTGGTCTCTCTTAAAGGTTTATTTTTATTAAATAAGTAAATGTGATTTTGACATCCAGCTCCCTGTTGTGCTCTTTGTGTTGATTTATGCTCTCTTTCTCAAGTGCAACTAACATACGTTCTGTTCCATTTACATTTATATTGCTGATGTGTGATCCATCAGGTCAAAAGTATTCAAGATGCCATTCGAGACAAAAAGAAGAGGTTTAACTTCATGGGCGAGGATGTGAACCTGGTCCCGTCGGTGGGCATCTTTATCACCATGAACCCGGGCTACGCCGGCAGGACTGAGTTGCCAGAAAACCTCAAGGCTCTCTTCAGGTGCGCTGCGGATTTGCATTTCATTCGGTGCCATTTGCTTTTAAAGGGGAATTCTGCCGCTTTAAATATCGACATCTGCATCCTGGTTATAAGGAGATTGGATGCACCTGTGCTTCTTTATCACACAGATTTTAAATTATTTTGTGCAGTTCAAACAATAAAAAAAAACTTTTTTCCCCATTAGATCTGTTTTCCTCTGTAGAGTCAGCATTCACAAACACATTTTAATTTGACCGCCTATTTGTGGCTGCATACTCATACTCATAAACATAATACATGTTCATAGACATCAAGCTCTCAAACACAGATGAGCTGCATCTCCAGCCAGGTGTTGTTCTCCATCAGATGAACACTTACAACTAATGCAGATTATGTTAATTACCATAAAACATTTTCTGAAGTGATGCCTTTTTATTATTATATTATATTATATTATATTATTCGAGTTAGTTGACATAACGTCTAAAGTGGACTATCAAAAAGAAGTGTGAGCAACAAATGTTTTAGTGCTGGAATAAGCTGTGTGTAAATACATGTCTATAGTCGGTTACTGTATAACAGACTGTATGTAAGTGTGATAGGCCTGATCTGCATGTATGCTGCGTTTGATTCAGTCATGATGTTGTTTCGTTGTGTTTCTGCAGGCCATGTGCAATGGTGGTGCCAGATTTCGAGCTCATCTGTGAGATCATGCTGGTGGCCGAGGGTTTCCTCGAGGCTCGACTTCTGGCCAGAAAGTTCATCACTCTCTATCAGCTGTGCAAGGAGCTGCTCTCCAAACAGGTTTAGACGTCTCACACTATCGCTCCAATTAAGTTAGCAGCTGTGTCACATAAAAGCTTCAACTCGTTAAGCCAGAGCAGTTTTCTCAGCCATTTGTTTATCTGTCATTGGGATTTTATTTGATTGCGATGTTATGAGACTCCCAATTGCGTTCTAATAAAAATGTTGTCAATCCCGCTATCATACTGCTGTTACTCTATAAATAGTTTTTATGTACATCTGCTACAGACTGTGAAAGTGAGAAATCAAAGACTTTATAATTCACAGCGTTTCGGCTGCAGTAGCTGCATTGATTCTAAGTCTCTCTCATTGTCGCTGTCTTCTCGTTTTTTGTCAAAACATGTTTTTCTCAGGATCACTATTACTGGGAACATGCTAATTCATGTTAATAATGTGCTAAAACGTGTTAGAAACATGCTAGCCGTGTGCTAAACAAGTTAGGGACATTGTATAATTGTGTTAAAACATGCTAGCAACATGTTGAAAATGCTAAACATTTTAGAAACACGCTTTCATAGTGTTAAACATGCTAAAAATGCTAGAAACATGCTAATTAATGTTAGCCATGTATTGAACATGTTAGAAACATGCTAGTATAGTGTTAAACATACTAGCAACACGTTAAAAATGCTAAACATGCCAGAAACATGCTAGCATAGTGTTAACATGCTAGATGCATGTTAAAACATGCTAACAACATGCCAACGTATGTTAGCAGCATGCTAAGGGTCCGTCATGTCTGAAAACATACTAGTAAATGCCAAATGATGATGAGATGCAGCTGTGTTAGCAAAATGTAAGCATAATGTTAAAACATGCTAGAAACATGTTAATCTATGTTAGCAATGTGCTAAAAGTTGTTTGCCATGTGGTAAAACATGGTAGAAACATGCTAGCAACATGTTTCCAGAGTGCTAAAACATGTGACCAATATTATAAGTTATTATATTATGTTAAAACATGTTAGCACTGTGATAAATCATGCCAGCAATGCTACAACATGACAACAATGCATTTTAATCATGTTAACAAATTGTTAAAACATGTTATAAGTTGCTAGCGATGTGCTAAAACATACAAGAAACATGCTAGCAATGTGCAAAAACATGTTATTTTATTGACTTTCTCTAACTTCTCTGAGTAAAACCTTATTTTAAACTTTCAGTCCCGGCTTTGTCAAGCCAACATCAAAGTTTGTTATCAAACATTCCTCATCTAGTTATTAGTCAGTGTGTAACAGCGTTTCAGCTGCAGTGATTCCACTTTGTTATTCTGTGATTCCACTCGGTGGTTCTGTGATTAGACTTAGTGATTCAACTCAGTGATTCTGTGACTGATTCTCTCTCAGTCTCTCTCTCTCATTGTGTTCTCCCGTGTCGTCCTGTTTCAGGATCACTATGACTGGGGCCTGCGGGCCATTAAGTCGGTGCTGGTTGTGGCCGGGTCGCTGAAGAGAGGAGATCCGGGCAGAGCGGAGGATCAGGTGCTGATGAGAGCGCTGAGAGACTTTAACGTCCCTAAGATTGTGACTGACGACATGCCTGTGTTCATGGGCCTGATCGGGGACCTGTTCCCAGCGCTTGACGTGCCCCGCAAACGGGACATGGACTTTGAGAAATTCGTCAAGCAGTCCGTGCTGGATCTCAAGCTGCAGGCCGAGGACAACTTTGTGCTGAAGGTGATCTACATACTGATATACTGATCTATCTGTATATCTATTTTGGAAAACTTTTACTTCACTATATTGCATAATATCTTTTTCTCCAATTCATTTCATAAAACTATATCATTCCTCCTTATTTCAAACTCAAGAATTCGCCGCTCCCTCTGAGATGCAAGAAAAATGTCTGATTCATGAACTAACTGATTCTTTCTAATGAACCTGCTGAATCGGTTAGCAAATCACACTGAAAGATTAATTCGCAAATCAGACTGATCCGATTGCAGCTGCTCTTGAATAAACAACTCACAGATTCAATGATCTGGTCAAAAGTGAGCGCAGTTGATGGCATGAAAAGTTATTAATGACGAATTTTAGAATTGATTATTATAAATTAAATCTAGTGTGTTTGCATAGTGTTCCTCTTAATGTTAACACTTTTTACCCTATGTCATGTCTATACAGTTTATTTTATACTATTTTTATACATTTTGTTTTTCCTACTTTTTAAAATACTATATGGTATATTTTTTTCAAGTACTTCATCCACCACTGATTTTATGCTACATTTTTACTCAAAATTCATCCTAAATAAAAAAAAAAAAAAAAAAAAAAAAAAAAATTATTTAAAATATTCAAAATAAATATAAAAATATCTCACTATATATTCTTATTTAAAAATAAAGATAGATATATATAGATAGATGATATATAGATAGATAGATGATAGATATATAGATATAGATATGTTTTATTTCAAAATACAATTTAACAATTTATTTTATTCACAACATCTATACATAATAGTTATTTATTAATTTATGCTAGTTTGACCATTGACAAAAATGTCAGTAGAATTTGGAATCAACCAAGTGGACATTAATCAACAAAGTGTTTGGCCATTTTGAAATTATCAACATCATGACATATTGACAGTCATGACAAACGATGTCAATAATTTAAAAAATCAAACATTGGACAGCCAATGACTTAATATAGTGATTAATCAGCTAAGTGTTGCTACAGGAGTTGTGTGAGGTGTTCTGAAAGCAAGCGTCATCTCTCGCTCCAGGCTTTCTGTCCTCATCGAGGAGCGAGAAATGAAGAAGCCGATCAGAACGCTTTGAGCACTGATGGGAAATTGCTGTCGTTTCAGTCCGCTCTCATACTCCGTTCCAGACAGCCTGTCAGTTTGTGCATTTTTTGGCAAAGATCTTACTCTGGTCCCTTTTGAAACTAGTATCGTTTGAAGAGAAACAAAACGACAATTTCAAAATTTACATCTGCGGACTAGTAATCACTATTGACTTCACGTCAGTTCGTGATTGACAGACAACCTCGAGGTTCATCAGGACTCAAAGAATCATCTACTGAACCAGTGCAGTCCTAATCGATGCCACTCTAGCATTTTTTCTTCTTCGGGTTGCACATTGTCTTCCTTTTAGAGCCATAAACCTGCTGTTGTGTTTCAAGCAAATAGACATTAGTGTCAAAGCAGTCTGGAAGTGGATATATTGGACAAATCAAAGATAGCAGGAATTACAGTGTAATAGCGCCTCAGGTGCCGGAGCACAGCTCTAATTCTGAGCATTAGGATGAGCTCTGGATATCAGCCTCTGCGTTCAGCAGAGCCAGGGGAAATAAGTGCAATCTCACACAGGTCAAAGAGCCACAGAAACAACATAACAGCACTCCATCAGCAGAGGCTGATGCTCCACCGCGTGTTTAACCCCTTCACAGTAAGAGGAGAGACGCGGGTCAGCGTGCTGCGGCCCGTCTGACCGTCCGCGCTCTGATTGGCTGGAGGGCAGGTGCGAGAGGAGGAAGAGGTGCGTTATTAAGCCACATCTCTGATAGACATCAGATCAAAGCAGCAATCAGCAAACCCTCAGAGATGCCAAAGCAGCGCTGCAGAGCCCGACGGGGAGCTGCATCAATGCCATTGATTGAACATGCCATCAGATCCAAGAGGAAGATCTTGCGCTTCTGCTGCGCTTGGCTCTCAGAGGGAAGCGGCTCACTGTAAAAATGTTTATCATACTCATAATGCTCCAGCAATCATCTAATTGTGGTGTTTCAACTGCGGTAAAGCTACAGTTGTAATGTGTCATTATGAAACGCTCTGTAGTATGTCTGTCAGAGTTTTGGCAGCTACCGTATTTCCTGGAACAGAAGTCATGTTTTTATAATCTGAAACGTCTTATGACTTGTATTCTAAATCGAATAATATAATACCGTTAGAAATCAAGCATGCGTAATGTAATTTACCATAGAATGTAATTCTGGGGTAAATTACATCTATTCTATGGTGCGTAATGTAATTTACCATAGAAATATGATGTTTCTTTTTTGTTTGTGTAACTGTTATAGCGCCCTTTATAGCACAATCTATATAAAAGTTGGCATGTTTTTTTAGAACCATATGCTGCGTATGCTCACCTAGTTTCATGAAGTTTTGGGTTTTAGTTTAGGAATTATAGACTTTTGGGTATATTTGGCCATGTCCATTTTTTAGTGACCCTGTTATACGGTATCTAACCAAAGTGTAAAGTTCAACATTTTTTTGATAATTATTGACCTAGAGAGTCTAGAGAATTGTGCTTCAGTGTTTTTGTTTTTTTTTGTTTTTTGTTTTTTGAGGTTGAGCAGAAAACCTAGGAGTAGTTCGCAAAAGTATGTTTATCACATAAACTCAAATATTTAACAAACAATTTGATTGACTGATGCAAAGGTGTTCAGAATGAGACGATCTATCATATGATATGTGTTTGTGTGCAAAGTTGCGAAATATTCAGTCGTTTACACGCTTGAAAAATGTGATATCGCCCCCCAGTGGCTGATTTCTTTCAAATTTTCCCACAAACCGAGGGACGTGAGTCCAACAGGCCTACTGAGTTTCGTTGTGTTTGGCCTCTGTGTTAACCCCAATATACAGTAATAGGTGCTCGAAATTCATTGGCTGAGGCAGGCTACATTTTTTGAGATACACAACCGTGCTCATAGACAGCCGTTGCACTTTGGACAAAGACACTGTATGTGAATTGTCAAGTTAACGGATGCATAGTTATAGCCGTTTTTATGTTTTTGTCCTTTTGTAGCACCACACAGTGGCCAGACGCTGCTATTTTTTTCTCATGTGACCTCAGATTGAGGTCTTACATATGCGTATTAAGTTTGGTGTAAATATCTCATTCCGTTGAAAAGTTATAGCTGTTTTAGGAAAAATGTCTCTTTTGAACATTTTGGTGTTTATTTGCGTAGGTTCCTCTGCGTGTTCCTCTGGTTCCTTTTGGTATTCCTATGTTTTTTTTTTTGTTTTTGATAATAATTTATATTCACTCTGCAGATAATTTTTCTGCAATGGTTTGGTTCCGATCGAGTGAAAAACCTAGAACTAGTTCGCAAAAGTGTTTTTCAAAAACTCCAAAATAGCCAAAAATGTTCGTCTTGATGATATAAGACACTTGAGTCTGTGACAAGCGCTTTAGGAGTTACAGTATGAACGATTTTGTACTTTAGATCCCTGTAGCTCCCCCGTTAGGCCAATCTGGGCAAGCCTTGGTGACTTTGTGGACTGACTGTGAGCTTTGAAAATTTTAACAATTACAATAGGATATCAGGGCTACGTGCTTGTACCCCTAATTATTTCATTAATTTTGATCTAATACTCACCTTGAGTATGATTCACTAAATACAGTATAACTGACTCATTAGCGAATCACACTGCTCAGACTGCTCCTTATGTGTTCGATTTGCTAAGAAGAGCAAACCTTATTAATTTGTGCTGTAGATTCAGTTCTGTCTGGTGATGCTAGTGGTGCAGACACTACAAACTTTGCCTTTAAACACATCAAATGTTTGAATTGTAATGTTTCCCTAGTAGTATTGAGTCTTCACTGTAGGAAACAGAGAACTGTTTCGCATGTGCATTATTAAAACAATACCACAGTGACAGACTGTCCGCTTCTGCGGTACTGCAGATGCACCCGGCCCGTTCCCAAAACTGAACTCACGCACAGCTTCATTGTCTGCCTGTTTGCCAGAGGTGCCATTAAACAGCACAGGGAAGAGACTTCTCGAACTTTTTGTTGGTTTTGTTTTGAAATGTTTGGCGTGAAGTCACAGCGGTGCTGAAAACCACTAGATACTTTGACAGGCCGGATCTGCTGAAACTGCTTTTAGCCAGTCCTGCTAGTTTGTCTCTCCTGTGTGCACTTTATAGCAGAAACACCAAAACGGTCGTGTTCTGAGTGTGATGTGTGTCTGTGTCTCAGGTGGTCCAGCTGGAGGAGCTGCTGGCTGTCCGTCACTCCGTGTTCGTGGTGGGAAACGCCGGCACTGGCAAATCCCAGGTCCTCAAGTCTCTCCACAAGACGTATCAGAATATGAAGCGAAGGGCCATGTGGGCCGACCTCAACCCCAAAGCAGTCACCAACGACGAGCTGTTCGGCATTATAAACCCGGCCACGCGCGAGTGGAAGGACGGTGAGGGCTGCTGCCATTTCCAGCGCTTCCATCACAGCCCAATGCCAGACTCAACAAGTGTGCTTTTCCCCCGCAGGCCTGTTTTCTAATATCATGCGTGAGCTGGCCAACATCAGTCACACCGGGCCCAAGTGGATTGTCCTGGATGGTGATATCGATCCGATGTGGATTGAGTCGCTGAACACAGTAATGGATGATAACAAGGTAAAGCCGAGACAGCCAGAACTCCAGCTCAATATCAGCTTTCGCATGCAGCATTCAGATATCTTTATGAAAGAGAGCGCATGAAATCAGCCTCACCTTTATGTGACCTTTCGCTGAGATGACACGTGTGTGTGTGTGTGTGTCTAGGTGCTGACACTGGCCAGTAATGAGAGGATTCCTCTGAACCCGAGCATGAGGCTGGTGTTTGAGATCAGTCACCTCCGCACTGCCACTCCAGCCACCGTCTCCAGAGCCGGTTAGTGCTCACACTAACTAACTAACTAACTAACTAACAGTAATGATGCTGCTGATGTTACAAGATGTTAAAACACTGATTTCCCAATAATGAGATTTTTTTGTTTTGTTAGTCTAGCTTTTTTTTTTCTTTTTTTACAAAAAAACGTCTCTGTTTGATGTAATATAGTGTTGCATGGGCACTAATCAGACACAGTCATCTAAAAATCCAATCTCATATGTCATATGGAGCATTAGGAATCAGATGAAATTTAATAAAATGAGTCACAGATTCTTGCATGCCTTACATTCTTTTTTATTTTTTGTAGTGATGCAATGTACAAAATAATATAAGAATATTAATATTTGTAACATTAATGTTTTAGTTATTATTATTGACTAATACATTTTATTTATTTTAATATTTTAATTTATTACAAATATTATAAATATAAAATGTAGTTTTAGTTAATTATGGTCTTTTTTTTTTTTGTGGTATCAAGTGTACAGGGTTAAAATTCAGTGTAATATGTTCAAATGCTTATTTATATTTTAAAAATGTAATTTATTATTATTATTATTATTTTGGCAGATACTTTAATCCAAAGCAATTTAAATTGTATTTAAGATGGACATCTTATTTTAGATTTCAGCTCTTGCTTTCTCTGGGAATCGAACTCATGACCTTGGTATTGCTAGCACCATTTCTACTATTTGATCTACAGGATTTTTTTGTTACTGTAATTGAGGTCTGAGCATAGTTATAGCTAAAATGTAGTAATGCACAGTTTATTGAAGCAAACTACTTTTAAAAAGGTAGCTTGACTTTGCGGTCAAACAATCACCTCAATTTGAAGCTACAAATTAAAGACTAAAATTTACTTCCACAACACTTCCTAGTCTGCATCACACTGAGCCAATAAATAACGCCCTGAATGAGATCCAGAACTTTAAACTTATTTTACTGATGTGTCACCAAACAGGTATTTTGTACATCAACCCTGCGGATTTAGGCTGGAATCCTCCTGTGTCCAGCTGGATTGACGGGAGGGAAGTCCAGTCAGAGAAAGCCAATCTGACCATTCTGTTTGACAAGTACCTCCCATCATGCCTCGACACGCTCAGGTCAAGGTAGAGTCGTGAATGATTCTTGTCGTGACCATATCCGTCCAGTTAAAAATCACGTGCCATTTCTGAATTCTGATCGCAAACACTTGGCTCGTTAATATTAATTATAGCTCCCATAACAGAGAGTTCTAAGATTAAGCAATGTTTATTTTTGATATACTATATGAATGATGTTGCCAACTAGCTAAAATAAATATTTTTTAAGGTTTTGTTTTTAACATTTGTTTTATTTCAAGCAACAAAAATGTTCTTTTTATGGTTTTAGTTTTAACTATAATAACTCTTCATATAATTTTCATGTAAACCAAACCCAAATGAACATAACCAGAGAGGAAAACATCACAATGACAAACATGCCAGACTGTTTCCAATCAGCAGCACAAACAAAAACCAGTCCACGTCAGTCCGGCTCAGTGTACTCTACAGTCACGTTACAGCCGCAGAAAAACAGTAAAGAAATGTCCCTCAGCGTTATCCAAACGCTTTCCTCCTCATTCAGACGATATTGATTGACCTGCGGGTGCGCGAGTTTGTCCTCTCTTTACAGTACGACACCACCAAACTCTTCAGTCAGTATTTATTCACTGAAGTCAGTTTTAATTTGACTTTGAAGAACTCTTTCTGTCTTTGTGAGGGTGAATAAATTTCAGCTTCAGGAAATGCAGCTAGAGCCAAATGTGTATTTTGAATGTAAATCAGGTGTCTGTGTGTGTCTCCAGATTTAAGAAGATCATCCCGGTTCCTGAGCAGAGTATGGTCCAAATGCTCTGCTTCCTCCTGGAATGTCTCCTGATCCCAGAACACACTCCTCCAGACAGCCATAAGGATCTCTACGAGCTCTATTTTGTCTTCGCAGCCATCTGGGCCTTCGGAGGAACCATGTTCCAGGATCAGGTGGATCTGATGTGACTAAACTACCGACTGAGCCTTAAAGTCACACACACAAACCGCTGTGTATTCTCATTTCCACATGATTTCATCATGAATAATGGCTGTTTTTGTAATGTGTGTGAATGTGTGTTTCGCTGCAGCTGGTGGATTACAGGGTGGAGTTCAGTAAGTGGTGGGTGACAGAGTTCAAAACCATCAAGTTTCCGGCTCAAGGAACCGTATTCGATTACTACATCGATCCTGAAAGCAAAAAATTTGAGCCCTGGTCAAAAATGATTCCCAAATTTGTGATGGATCCTGACATCCCTCTTCAGGTGGGTACTGATGTGTTTGTGTTTGTAGTTCTACAAAGTGTTTATTAACCAAGGACAGCAGTCTGACAACACTTGCACTGTAAATACTACAATGCTGACAATACTACATGTGCAGCTATGACGTCTACATAGTCCTCACATGAAAGCAGTGATATTTCAGTCTTTTTTTTCTCAATAAAACTGGACAAAATGGTAAACGGTGACCATAAAAATGCTAAAATAATAATGGTTAACTAATAAAGTTTAAAAAAGCAAAATAGAATGATGATGATAAATAAAACATATACAGTGGGTACGGAAAGTATTCAGACCCCCTTACATTTTTCACTCTTTGTTATATTGCAGCCATTTGCTAAAATCATTTAAGTTAATAGAATCATAAAATTCCAAGATACTATATAAAAGCCAGACAAAATAGTTGGATTACCAGTGTTATTTTATATGTACTGTATATTAGTAATAAATTATATGTACAGTGGTGGCCAAAATTATTAGAACACTAGTATTTTCACTAGCTAAACAATAGTTTTAAGTCAGTTATTTTTATCTTTTGCTGTAGTGTGTCAGTAGAAAATATCAGTTTGCATTTCCATTTTGCCATTAATTTGAATAATCCAGTGAGATTTTTGTTTGCACAAGGAGTCTGACAAGAGCCAGTGCTCTGATCTCATCATCATCCAGTCTGTCCGGAATGACATGAAGAAACAGAGCAAACTGAGACAGACTCAATCCAGAAGAACTGTGGCAACGTTTCCAAGATGCTTCAAGAAACCTACCTGCAAAGCTACCTGAAAAACTATGCGCAAGTGCACCGAGGGCAAAAGCTGCCTTAAACGCAAAGGATGGTCCCACCAAATGTTGATTTAATTTAGTTAATAGAAGTTAATTGATAAAGAAAATCTATTTATGGCATTATTTTTGACAGCATCCTCATTTTTCAGCATTTTTACACAAGTGCCTAAAAGTTTTAACAGTACTGTAGCTTTGCAGATAGGTTTCTTGAAGCATCTTGGAGACGTTGTCACAGTTCTTCTGGATTTAGTCTGTCTCAGTTTGCTCTGTTTCCTCATGTCATTTCCAATATATATATATACGTATATTTATATTTGAAATAAATAGAAATGAAAATTAAATATATTTTATTTAATTCATTCATTTATTTTCATTTTCAATTTATTTTATTTTCAATTCCAGCTGGCATTTATTTTGTTCCAGATTAATAGGGCTGTCCCCGACTAAAGATTTTTCTGGTCGACTAGTAGTCATTCATTTTAAGCATTAGTCGACTAATCGCACATTTATTCATAAACCATTTAAATCATAATACCGAGACTTTAATTGCCTTCATAGCCTAATAAGCACTCAAGCACACGCATAAAATTTGCCACAGCGCACCGGCAGAAGTAATGATTATGAATGTGTCAGGGAAAAACAGTAAGGAGGCTGCATTAACATTTTAATAATTCATTGATAAACTAGTGCTTTTTTGTTTTCGGTTTAAGAGATGAAGTCGGCGACACTGACTCATCATCTCCGCAGTAGTGATGCACCTGTATGCATGTTTCATACGGATTACATAATCTGAGAATATTAATCTATTAATCGTAATATATAGATATATTTTTCTGTGTCTGTAAGGCAAAGATATACACGGAGTATCGCGCTCAAATTCACAGAGACTGAGACGGCAGAAAGCGCATCCTGTTTCATTATTTTACAAAAGCACAATGTTTTGTTGTTATTGTGAGTGCACACAAATAACCTTGGGGTCTTTACAGATTTGAAAGATGTATTACTCTTATCTGTATGACCAAATATGAGTATTTTAACGGGCAAGTGAGCACTCCGGCGCCTCCATCTGTCCTGCAGTGAACGCTACTATTCAGCTTCCACACTCCACACAGACACTTCAATAACGGACATTTCTCTAGGTTAACATTAGATTGAGCGGCCATGTAAAGTTGCTAATACTTACATATTTCAGTTGATAAGCCATATTTGAGGTCGATGAATGATCGAGCGTTTGGATGTTCAAGATGTATTACCATAGACTAGCTGTTAACGATTTGTCCGTCACGGATTGCGTGACTTGGCATGTGGATTTTTTTTTTTCTTCTCTGTCTTAGACCCAATCCCAATTCTATTTTATACCCCTTCCCCTTCCCCTACCCCTCCACCTACCCCTTCCCCTTGTCCCTTGAAACAGTGTGTCAAGGGGTAGGGGTGAAAATATTCCCCTAAGAATTGGGACACCACTACTATGCTGTCACACGTCATCATACGTCGTCTAGCTCCTACAATACACACACCTATACTGGTGTGCTGGTGTGGATCAGAGCCTTACTGTTCTATATTAATGCGCTGCTTACTGACACACACACACACACACACACACACACACACAC